TGGAAGGGGCCTGCCACCTGCAATATTGCCCAGCTTTGGAATTGGGCAAGGGTACCACCAAGACGCTGTCCTGATTTAAAAAAAAAAAAAATATATATATATATATATATATATATATGGTGGCTTTCTTCATGAGTTTGATTTCTTTCCTCATTCTCTCCTTTCTCCCCCCAGCACATTCTTTGATTGATTGATTTTTATTTTTTTAGCATAGCAGAGAAAATATACTCTGTGTGTAATTAAGTTCACCTTCACAGCAGCCAAGATGCACACTGTAGCTCAAAGAAACTAATTAAAAACAAAACAAAAAACCATAGAACCTAGGAATTAGGTTTGTCTTACTCATTTCTTTAGAAGGGAAGACCTTTTAAGAATGTTTCACGATTTTATCTAACAAATTTCACTTGGTTTAATGAAGCCTAATCCAGAAATGTGGTTAACTTTCTTATTTAGAATGAATGCTGTGACTTTCAGATATAGCTGCAGGCTCCAAACAGCAGTACCTGACAGAACCACGACCCTGCAGGAAACCAAATTTAATTTCTTTCCTCCCAGGGGATGTGACCAATGGCAATTGCTCTTGTTAATGCCGTTTGGACAGCTCTTACCTGTATAGGACACAGTCTGACTTGGCTTTCAAAGTCCATGCTGAAAGAATGCTTTTAGTCTGTTGCAATTTTTAACCAGATAGTATCCTCATTACTCCCCTGCAACTATGATAAAATTTTTAACTGAGTAAATTATCTCTGACCTTCCTTAGTACACATGATTCAAACCTGTGCATTTGCATTTAAAGTATTTTAGGAAGAAGTGGAAACATTTTTTCCATCTGAGGCAGGAAGTTAGAATTAAGATGTCAGTTTGAAAAGTTAATGTAAAAAATCATTAATGTGTCCTCACATCCTGTATAATGTGATATCAGTTGGTTATTCTGTCATCCCAACCGAAAAAACAAAACAGCATTCAATTCATTTCTTTGTACCAGCCTCTGAATAATGTCCTTTGCAGATATGTAGTTACTTGTTTGAACAGGATGCATTGGGAAGCTGCCTCTAGGAGACAGGGCAGCTGACAGGTTCCCAGTCAACACATTAGTAGAAGCAGTCAGGAGAGAGATCTTAAGCCATTTTTCATTCCAGTCAATGCCATAGAGGGGTGGGAGAAATTGAGAAGTTGAGGCCAAATTGCTTTTGTTTTTTTCTTGAAAATGTATCCCCATTTCTCCTCCCCCTGTGTAAGAGTGGCTTATGAGTGGGGCTGCCACACGTCTGGGTGGTGGGAGGTGGGGTGGATCACAAAGCGCTGTAATTTGAGCCTAGTTGTCTTTCCTACACTTTTAAGGATTATTATGAATGCTCTGACTTGCCACAGGCAGTGTCTGCACAGCCACAGGCATGATGACACTAAATATAAGTCAAACTGAAAACATTTACTCCTAAGGAGAAGGCAGGGTCAGCACTTAAATAATTTGACTGTAGGCAGCTCAGACATTACTGCCACACGTCTGGGTGGTGGGAGGTGGGGTGGATCACAAAGCGCTGTAATTTGAGCCTAGTTATCTTTCCTACACTTTTAAGGATTATTATGAATGCTCTGACTTGCCACAGGCAGTGTCTGCACAGCCACAGGCATGATGACACTAAATATAGGTCAAACTGAAAACATTTACTCCTAAGGAGAAGGCAGGGTCAGCACTTAAATAATTTGACTGTAGGCAGCTCAGACATTACTCTGGTTCTTCTCTCATTGAAGGAGTTTGGTTTTCACCCCACGTTAAAGAGTAGGAGCAAATTTCAAGTAGAAGGACATGAAAATAGAAATAAAAGATTTTTTTGTGTGTATTTGTTACTGTAAGGCAAACTGCTGTAACAGATCTTGATCTTAGTGGCCTAATTAAAGTTTCTTTCTCATTCCTGTAGCCGTCTGATGTGTGTGTTCCTCAGCAGGTGATTCTCTTCCAGGTGGTGATTCAGGGACACAAGCTCCTTCCCTCTTGTGTTTTTGCCATACCCACTGTAGGTTTCCCAAGTTGCCTTGTAGGTTGTCCCCATTTCTGTGTGTGTGTGTGTGTGCGCGCGCGCACGTGCACGTGTGTGTGTATGTGAGAGAGATGTATGAGCTAGGTCTGCATTACTTCTTTTCACATTCTATTGGCTAAAGCTCGACAGCTACACCCTAACTGCAAGGAAAGCTGGGAAATATATTTTGGTCGTGTCCAGTAGTAGAGGAGCGAAGGGATTTGATGATGGTAGGTTAGGCCAATGCTTCTCACACTTCACCTGCATCAGAATTACTTGGAAGTTTGTTAAAACACAACTTCTTGGATTCCTCATCCAGAGTTTTCGAGTCAACAGGTCTTGGGTGAAGTCTGAGAATTTACATTTCTAGTAAGCTCCCAGGTGATGTTGATACTGCTGGGCTAGGGATCACAATTTGAATAGCCCTTGTTTATGATGCATTTTTGTGTCTTGATTTATCCATGCTAATCATGAGAACCAGAAGTGTCTTTATTATAGTGACTTGAGAGATAGGAGGAAAGGAGAGGAGTAAATTAGATAACGGTCTTGGGCAGGCCATCTGGAGTATTAAAAATAATCAAACATAAAAATAATGAAAAGTGAAGATTTCTTAGAGGAATTGGAGCTATGGAGGGTTGAGACCTGGGTAGTCATGTACTAATGAGATGGAGATGGGGGATGAGTAGGGACCTCTGTTGCCAGGCAAAGGAGCTGTCAGTTTTATTAGCTCTGTTGGAGCAGGAAGGTTTGGAGAATAAAGTACATATGTAGGTAGTTGGAGAAGTAACATGGACAAAGTGACCACGGAGGACTTGAGTGAGAATCAAGGAGAGGTGGTGATTGTTGGAGTGGACCAGACCTGAACCTTGGACATGGATGAGCTGGGCTTGGATTTTGAGTTTCTTCAAGTGTCAGGATATCTGTAAGATAGGGTAATGTCTGTCTGTTAGGTTGCTGTGAGAATGAATTAGTTTGGAGGTTTGCAAACTTTCTTGGTTGGCGGTGCTTCTAGGTTAAAATGAAAATGTAACAGTTTCATTTATTAAGTGGTTAGCTCCAAACAACTAACAACTCAGCAGCCATTTGAAAAAATAATATCAGTTGAAAGAAAAATATTTTTGTTTCTTTCTTAACCACAATTACTTATTAGTGGGTTGTGTCCACCTGTGCGCACTGAACAGCTTCTCAAACCTTGGAATCATATTGGACATCGAGGTTCTGTTTTCCTGTTCTACACTGATGTTTGTTTTTATCATGGAACCTGCTAAAGCCCTTGGCAAAGATATGATGTCATCAAAAGGAATGTAGTGTGATCTGATATTGAAATTGAAAACTGCCTGTGTTGATCATATGGACAATATCTGACCTATGTTAAGTATCACCATGTTGTCCCTCAGAAATGTGAAATAGTTTGCAGTGCCTCTGTGTTCACTGTATGACCCAGCTGCCTTGGTGCATAGATGAGGAACTGTGGGTTTCAGCATGTTTTTTTTCTTCATTGCTTTAACAGATGTTAACTGAGTAGCAATGAAGTGTCAGGCACTGTGCTGGGCACTGAGGGGAAATCATGTTCTACCTCCACAGAGCAAAGAGTCTAGCGGGGAACTAGACACAGAATCAGATAATCACCCAAATGTAGAATTCCAATGGGGTCAGTGCCATGGAGGAGAATTTTAAAATGCTATGAGGAGGACTATTTGACCTGGTCAGGAGAGGTTAACAGGGCAAGAAGGAGAGGGAACTATATTCTAGGCAAGGCAATTGGCATTCTGGGGGAGTATTTCTCAAACTGGCTGTCATGAAGGACCTGCTTTATTCTTTTTTTGTTCCAGTTGCATTGTGATTGATTCATGTATGTAGCTTGGTGTGCCATGTGTATTTGACAATATCTGAACTGTTTATTGAGACAAGTCCAACTGATCATGCAGTTAAATGTTGAAACAAAGCCTGATGCAGAAAAGTTTCAAAAAGCTGTCATGAATGGGTAACAGTTTGTGGAGGATCAAAACTTGTGGCCCACATATTGAGTAATTGCTGCAAACAGTGGGAACAGCATGTGCAAAGGGCCTATGGTAGGAGGCAACTTGGTGAATAGGAGAAAAGAGAGAAAAGGCCAATGTGGGTGGAGCATAAAGTGAGAGGTAGAAAAGTCAACAGGGGCTGTGCTGGGCCTCTAGGCCACCAAAGAATTTTAGTCTCAGATGAAGACATTTTCATCCTGGTGAAGAAGGGAAATTTGTCTTTACTACTTTCCTAGGTGATAGCTTGAGAGAATAAACAGGCCAGATACTTGGCTACTAAGATGTGTTGTGTGATTTAGGCAAATTGCGGTTTTCCTTCTTTTACTCTGGCTGTAGAGTTTAGGGGCATATCAACCTCCCAGAGCAGAGGGAATTCTTGCTTGTGTGAAAAAGAATATATAGAAGGGCCTGCTGGAGTGTGGCCAGGGGGTTGAGGAAGCATTCCCAGTTCCCTAACAGATGATGTCAGGTGCTTAGGCTTCTCACAGTCCCACGCCACAGGCAGGAAGTTTGGAGGCCCCCTCGCTGCTACTAGCTTGGGTATAAGACCACCTCTCCTAGAGGGCTACTGAATTCCAGCTGTTCCTGTGAAGTCATGTGGAACATGTCACAAGAGGCTGTGTTGCAATGTTTTTGCTAGTCTTCTGCCATTCTGAGGTTTAATGTGGTATCTGTAGGTGCTGGGCGAAGTGGTGGGCATTGTACCAAATCCTGAAAGGACCTGGCCCTTGCCCACAGTGGCCTGTTACAAGCTGCATTCTGATTTAAGGATCTGGAATGGAATCTCCCTACTCTTTCTCTACTTCGGCTGACTTCTGTGGGACACTTGGGAGGGACTTTTGGTTTCCAGCTTCATGGATTTGGAGCCTTGATGGCAAATTCAGGATCGCTTTGCTTTTCTGCTTTGCTGTGTGGAATAGGCTGGGGGAGAAAAATGATGTACTGTGGTTTCTCTGTGCAGGTACTTTGTACTGGATTTTGAGGCTGGCATCCTGCAGTATTTTGTGAATGAGCAAAGCAAACACCAGAAGCCTCGAGGAGCTCTGTCTTTATCTGGAGCCATAGTGTCCCTGAGCGATGAAGCTCCCCACATGCTGGTCGTGTACTCTGCTAACGGAGAGATGTATAAACTGAGAGGTACGTCCTTCTGGTAACTTTTCAGGCAGGCCTCATGGGCTACGTTTATAGTTGCCATGGTGATGGTTTTTTTTTTTTTTTTTTTTTTGATTTTTTTGTTTTTCTTTTAAATTACCTTTAACAATGTGCTTGTTTGGGGGACTCTGTGGTGGCAGACAGACACTGATCCTCTTACCCCTGGGTGGGGAGATGGAGCTTGACATTAGGAATTGCTTCTTTTTTTTTTTTTTTTTTTGATTTTTTTGTTTTTCTTTTAAATTACCTTTAACAATGTGCTTTGTTTGGGGGACTCTGTGGTGGCAGACACTGATCCTCTTACCCCTGAGTAGGGAGATGGAGCTTGACATTAGGAATTGCTTTTCCTAATTAGCTGAGGAATTAAGGACAAAGGAAAGGTGAGTGATTGCAAGGGCAGCTGTGCATTAGGACTTCTGAAGATTTTGAATGTTAGCTCAGTATCCAATTTCTTTGACCTTGTAGTATGACTCTTCACTGAGTACCCTGTGGGGTCTGTGCTGTAAGGACAGAACCAGCCTTTAAAGGGTCATAGTGCCTTCTCCCTAAGGCCTCTCTAGAGCCATCTCTTCGTAAAGGGCCCCTTTCTTCAAGTTTTATTCAATCCACTGTAGTAGTAGCCCCTGTTGAGAAGCCAGCTCGTATTGAGCTAGTGTCCCTTTGTATGTTTTCTCCCTTTTTCTTTGCTGCTTGAAGACTGATGTCTGCTCAGCATCCTCGGAACTGAGGATGACCATTGAGAGAGTCCAGCATTTACCCTGAAGGCATATCCATTGTACAGAAATGTTGCCCTTGATCGTAGCAGTGTAATTTGACTGCTGGATCATTCTACCAGGATTCCGTTGTGGTCGCATTGCAAGGATTCTTCTGGCAGTTTTCTTTTAATTAAATAGCAAAACAAAACAACAAACAAAAATTCAAATGCACGCACGCACACACGCAGTCAATATTATTTATTAAGGCCTGAGGAAAGGTAGTATGTATTAAGTATTGAGGAATGGTTAACAATTCTGCCTTCTTATATTTTTCTTTGCCTCAGTAAATACTATGTACTAGCAAAAGGCGCCTTATCATCTCTCCTTGACTGTGACAGGCCGCCTCTGCAAAGCCTCACTGAGAGCCCAGATTCCTCACCGCAGTCCCCCTGGCATTGTCCTACCACCGAGCTTTCCTACCCAAGAGATGGAATAAGCTGTTTCTTTATTATCTCTATGTAAATCGTATTTCAAAATCTGTAAAACAATCCAAAAGCCATGAAATACAAATGCCTAGAGTTGAAGAAGAAGTTTTTTTTGGAAACGTGGTAAGAGACATATTCTCTTTTGAGTTTCATGCCGTGTGCATTCCAGCTGGCTGGATTTATATGGTTCTCGGCTTCGCTTTGCTGTTTATTGCTTAATAAATTGTCAGAGCAGAAACAATAGCAGGTGAAAACCTTAATGGCACTTTAGGTTTATAAAATGACATGAACCCACACACAGGAAAAATCCAACAAATTTGACAACTGAGGCATCTCATTTTGCCATTGAGTTGTTAATATTCTCTGGATTATTAAACCCCAGGTTTTTTTAAGAAGGGTAGTTTTAATAGCAAATATAAAAGTTATATTATCTACATGAAATAATTACAGGTGCTAAATTTAGCTAAAACTTATTAACTACAAAGTAGGCAGGATGAATTTCTGCGTGCTTATGGCTTGTCCTTTGCCCATCCCACAGGAGGTGGCTGTGGTTTTTCTCGTTTCCTATCTCACCTGTATGTAGCGGAGCAGGGTCATGATGTCATGAGATGCACAGCTTTTGAGGATGTTTTGGTGCTGAACCTTTAGATAGTACTGTCACAAACAGGCAGTTTTTAAAGTTTCCTAAGGATAAAGGCCTCAGTTTCTGTAAAATCCTTTGTTTTTGGATTAATTTCACCTGTCTTGCACTGTGCTTATCATATTTCTGCAGTAGGGCTCCTGACAAATCATGGTGGATTTAGAAGGGACGTCTTCATGCCTTAAATTAGACTGAGCCAAAGAATTTTCCATTTTTCAACTCTATATTTTTTCACCTGAAAGTTCAAGTCCAGTTTTATTGACAAACAACACAGGCCCGTTTCTGTAAACAATGATAATTTCTAGGAGAATTATTTGTTTTCCACAAAACAATGATAATTTCTAGGAGAATTATTTGTTTTCCACAAAATGTTTTCAACATTTATCTGGTTGATATTATGTTAATGTTTTATTCAGTTACTTATGCAGTTAAATTGATGTTTGAGATTTTATTAGAACCTGTTATGTACCCATGATATTTAAGAGTAATTTTATATATATTATTTGAGAGAGATGGGGTACAGATAGAGGAATATGACTGTGCAGTTGACTTGCTCTTTAACGTCTCCTTGGGGAGAAATTGAGGATCTCTAAGGCAGCATTTGGTATTTCATTCTCTCCAGTCATATGAATCCTTGAGAATACATATTAAAATGGTAATTCAACTGAACGCTTATTTTGTCAATGCTAATATCTCCACTGTGCAACTCTTATAGATAACAAAAGGCCCTGAAAAACTGTACTTTGATTCTTATATTAGCCACACAAGGTACAGGCATTTAAAAATAATCATGTGTTCCCTTCCCCTGCTGCCTTTTTAAAGAAGTAGAAATGACTTTTTCCGAGGTGGTTTAAAAAAATGGCAACATTGTTGTTATAACAGACATTTCGGAATACATTTTTAATGTGGTTCAAGAGGGAGTGTTCTGTGGAGATTCCGTGTAATTTGTTTTCTGGTGTAAGTCCAGGCCCCTTGAGAACGCTGTTATCCGTGTTTGCTTTTTCCTGTCTTTTCCCTCTGACTCTCATCTGCCAGGCCCCCGCCCTCTTAGGTGGGTGTAGAAATAAGTTGGATGTGTTTTGGAACAATCGCTGCACGCATTTCTTTCTGTTTTCTCTATTTTAGCTGCTGATGCAAAAGAGAAACAGTTTTGGGTGACTCAGCTTCGAGCTTGTGCCAAATACCACATGGAAACGAATTCTAAGGTAAGTAACCATGGGAGAGGAAGGAGGCATTCGAGTAACCTAGATGGCTACCTTTCAGCCCAATTATCTCTTTTTTGGGGGGAGATGTTTTTCGTGTTATTTTTTAAGTTATCCACCGTAATGTAATTCATACTTGTCCTGCTGTGTTTAAATTTAAAGGCGGGAGAAAAGTAGTAGGATTGTCTTGTAGGCAGAATAGGGAGGCATGCAGGCACTATGGTAACTATTTCTGCAAAGCCGCTTCTATTGCTTTCTGTCGCCAATATAGGCAGCTGTTAATTGGTCTATTGAGAAGCTCCAGTGGATGATTTCATTGTGGAGGCAGAGTAGTCAGATTTACAGTTTGTAGACTAGTTATCGTTAGTGATCCTTAAAGAAAACCTAGACCCCAAATTGATTATGTGCTCTGCAAGGAGCTTCTGCATTCCAAGAGTGTAACAATGTTCTCGGGTAATTTGGAATCCAAGTATGATTTATTTTCTCCTCAGATCTTGTGAGATCTTGTGTTGATGTAGGGGAGATAAAAGGTGGACATTTCCAGGGATTATTGTGGAATATTTCCAATCATTAAAATACAGAAAATAATTGCAAAATGCATTTATCAGGGCAATAAAATTAATATTAATAAAATAAATGTTCAGAGTGCAACCTCTTTATATTATTAGTTCAAATTTAGTTACTGCCTCCAATTGCTGTCTTTTTCTGTATTTCATGCACCTGATACAAAGATCCACACTTCAAACTTTTGATGATTCCATACAGTGCTATAATCTGCCTGCTTTCTGTCTCAGGATCACGTGAAATGTCTTACTTAACCTTCTGTTTTGCCTCCAGATACAACCCAAAATGATTTCTTCACAAATTTTTTTTTTTAAAGATACATACCTTTTTCTTTGACTCCTTAGGATAGTTGTACTTACCTGTAAAGCCCCTCTTGACTTGCCCCAAACTGTATGCAGGGCTCTGCTTTTTCCCCTCTGGCCTTTATTTTCCAGGAATCATAGTAGGAGTTCTAGACATTTCATCAGTGTTTTATACACACCTAGGCAGGGCAGTTTGTTTTTTTCCTTTGATATGTATCTTTTTGCTTTTTATTTTTATAAAACAAAAGAGGATAAAATAAAAAGAACCTATCCCCACCTATTGCCCTATGAAGGTACTTCAAAAAGTTCATGGAGAAATAGAATTAAAAGACAATATAAATCTTTTCATGAACTTTTTGAAGTACCCTTGCATATGCTCATTAGAGGTAATTGTTCTTACCTGTTCTTATATGTCATTCAAGTAAATCTAGGCATGTATTAGTATATATTGGTATGTGTATGTGTATATATCTATCTGCATCTATTTTTTACACAAATGAGATCATATACATACTGTTTTCTCTTTTGTTTTTTCTGCTTATTAATATATTTTGGAGGTCTTTCCTTATCAGACATATGGGTCTACGTTACTCTTTTTAGGATGGCTGGATGGTGTTCTAAGGGATGGATGTCAGTGCTTTAAGTCCTCTACTGATGGACATTTAGGGTTCCTGTTTTGTTGTTATATAGAGAACTGTAATAAACACCTTTGTACATGTGTCCTTTTGTACCTCTAGCTATGTATTTGTGGGATGAATTCATACCAGTGGAATTTCTGGATCGTGGAATGTGTCTTCTAAATTTTCATAGACATTGCTAAATTGTCTTCTTAAAAAATTGCCCTACTTTGTACTCGCACAAATTCTTTGTATAAGGGTTTGTTTCCGCTTCTCATTAACTGTAGGAATTATTAACATTCACTGTATGATATTCTCACAGATCAAAAATGGATGGCCCATATTTTTCATTTTTATTTCTAACAGTACTATGACTGGGCATGAGAATATCCTCAAATGTTTACTGGCCATGTGTACAGTTGACCCTTGAACAATGCAGGGTTAGGGGAACCACCCCTGATGCAGTCAAATCTGCATATGACATTAATTAAGTACTGACCCCTGTGCAGTGTGTGTGTGGACTATTGTTGTGTAAGTAGTAGTTATACATCTTTACTAATAGCCTAGTTTACTTAAGTGTTTGGTTAGGTATGTCATGCATGTTTAGGTATGAGTGCATAATATACATAACCAATATTTTTTGAATATATTTATTGAAGAAATCCACGTATAAGTGGACCCTCAGTTTAAATTAATTTGTTCAAGAGCTTTCTGTATTTCTTTTATGTGAACTGCTGATTTATATCCTTCACTCATTTTTCTATTGAGTTCATTTTTTCTTCTTGATTTGCAGTTGCTCTTTGCATATGAAGGATATTTATTTTTTGCCTATCATTTGTACTGTAGATATTTTCTCCTAGTAGGTCATTTGTATTTTGAGTTCGAATAAATTTTTTGCTATGCAGAATATTTAATTTTTTCGTAGTCAAGTTTACAAATAGTTTCATTTTTGGCTTTTTTTTTTTTTTCCTTTTTCTCTTTTTTCGTGTCCGGCAACGGACCGCAACCCTCAGTGTCGCGCCCGCACCAGACCGGGACCAGCAACGGGATTGCAACCCTCGGTGCTGCACCCGCCCCTCGCTCAGCCAGTGAGCGGGAACTGGTCTGTATGTGGGATCCGAACCCTCGGCGGGAGCGCCGCCGCGCTCCCAAGCAGTGCACTGTAGTAGTGCGCCACCGGGCCGGCCCCATTTTTGGCTTTTGATTTTGCATCATGTTTAGAAAGGGCTTTTCTGCTCCAAAATTATGAAAATAGTCTTCAGAGTTTTCTTTCAGTGAGTTTATAGTTTTAACTGTCAGATTTAAATCATTGAATCATCTGAAATTTATTTTGGGAGTAGGAATTGAGGTAGGGGAACCAACTCTAAGTGCATTGGTATTTTGATGAATCACTGCAGAGAAGGAATCCTAAAGGCATCCTAAAGGTAGTAAAAAAAAAAAGGGGGGGGGGGAAGAATTTGAAGATTCTCCAAAGGAGAATTTGATTTCCTGATATATTCTCTAGTTAGTTTTAGGAATATTGAATAATTTAATATTAGAATCAAAATAAATAATAATTTAGAAGCTTAGGTCTATAGGATTCCTTATTTGAGAACTGCAGGTGTGATTGCTACTACCACTCATTTATATCTCTGCTAGTGTGATCAATCAGGGAATGGTAATTTTTCAGTTGTGAACAGATCTGGTTATTCAGCAGAAGCATTATGAAGTCCAAGGCTGCTTACGCAGAAGTTAGTAGTGAAAATGAAGTTAGGCTTAAAGTGATTATAAACTTAATGTTCAGTTACCTGTAGGGTTGCTGCTTAGTTTGTATTGTGGTTATTAGGAATGTATGTCTTCTCTTCACTGTGTTTCTTCCTCATTTTCTCTCAGCAGATCAGATCAGATCCCTCCCCAGTAGACTGTAGAGAATACTTTCCCTACAGCTGTTTGGAATTTTGCCCTTTAAAAACTTTTTATTTAAAATCAAGTGTTCCCAGGCCGGCCCGTGGCTCACTCGGTAGAGTGCGGTGCTGATAACACCAAGGCCATGGGTTCGGATCCCATATAGGGATGGCCGGTTTGCTCACTGGCTGAGCGTGGTGCTGACAACACCAGGCCAAGGGTTGAGATCCCCTTACCGGTCATCTTCTATAAAAAAATAAAATAAAATAAATAAAATAAAATCAAGTGTTCCCTGGGGCAAATATTAGGCAGGTGAAATTGTGCTGTCATTCAAACTCACTTTAGGGAGAACTGTAGGATAACCAGATTTATAAAACTCTAGAGCTGAAGAGAGCTTTAAAGATGACCAGTTCAGTTGTTCCGAAACCCAGACCTGCTTTAATCACTCCCTGATGAAGTTTTCTCCAGTCTAGAAGTGAAATGAGAAAAACAAGGAGGGAATTGTTTCCAAAGTCATCTTTATTAAATATGAAGGACTACTTTTTTTTTTTTTCCAGAAATTATACTGCTTTGCTTTTGAGGGGTTAAAATATTTTTCCTTTTCATTGTGGAAGATGGTGAAGCATTGATTAATTGGTAATTACCTTTTTAAAAAATTCAGTTTTATTGAGGTATAATTTACGTACAATAAAATTCACTGCTTCTAAACGTAAAGTTCAGTGAGTTTTGACAAATATGTCAGTCACATAACCACCACCATAATCACAATTCCATCATCGCCCCAAATTACCTTATTACCCCTATGGTTAATCTCCTCCCCTCTGCCCCACCTCCCCACCAGCAACTGGAAACCATTGACCTGTTGTCTGTCTATAGTTTTGCTTTTTCTAGAATGTTCTATGGATGGAATTATACAATCTTTCATGTCAGACTTCCTTCATTTACAGAAATGCCTTCGAATTTCATTCATGCTGTTGTGTGCATCAGTAGTTGATTTTGTCTTTTACATTTTATCTATTTTAGTGAGTGTGTTCTTAATATCCTTACTTGTAAAAATCAGAAGTAGATGACCCATAGTCAGTTCCCAGACTTAAAATGTATCTTGGCCTTTGAAATCTAAAGGTCTTACTGTATAGTCCAGCCTTCTTTCGTTTACTCACATGTGAGGAAACTGCAACCAGGAGCTTTGGCCGTGGTGCTAAGACTTGAACTTAGATCCCCTGGTTTCTTGCTCTTACCCCACAGATGTCAGGACTGCCAGATGCTTCTCTCCATGGGTGGTGGGGTCCCTTTTAGGACAGTTTCTGCTTCTAAATGGACAGAAACTGCCATACGGCAGAGGGATCTCCCTTTTATTGATGTCACAAAGGTTCATCCTGTGGCTTCTACTTTTATTCAAGGTCTAGTTGCCAGGGGATGGAATTGGTCTGCCAGGAAGAATAGAACATGACTTTCCCTGAAAACATAAACAACAAATCAAAGCGTACCATTTTTAATGCAGCATAAAAGTTAAAGCACTATATAGCACTGCATTGATTGGGAAAATGTTCAGAGAACCGTAAGGACCATCCTCATGAGAATTTACTTTTGTATGACTTGGAAAGTGTCAAATGCAGGAGTGGGTTTCTTGTCATTT